TTTTTTTTTTGCGGTACGCGGGCCTCTCACTGTTGTTGCCTCTCCCGTTGCGGAGCACAGGCTCCAGACGCGCAGGCTCAGCAGCCCTGGCTCACGGGCCCAGCCGCTCCACGGCATGTGGGATCTTCCCGGACCGGGACACGAACCCGTGTCCCCTGCATCGACAGGTGGACTCTCAACCACTGCGCCACCAGGGAAGCCCTCCTTGTCCTTCTTTTTGCTCTTCTTTGACTTCTTTTTCTTCTTGATTGCCCAGTAAGAATCATCAATCACTAACTCCCCAGCCTCCAGCTCCCCGCCAGAGGAGGAGCCTGATTCTACTAGAATAGGTTCAAGCCCTGAAAGATCAAGGTTAGCACTGTGGGATTCTGGGAACTGGGAGGCATCAGACCCATAGCCTTCAGGGCCAGGAGACGAACGTGAATCTGAGAATGACTTGTACTTCCTCCAGGCTGTTTTCAGAAAGCTCCGTAACTCGTGTCCTAGGAGTAAAGCACCTTGCTCATCTCAAGCTGACGTCTTAGAGGATTTTTTCACAATTGCTTGTTGAGAGGGGTACTGAAAAGACTCCTCATCAACTGAGCTGCTTCCCTTCTCCTTTGGTGAGAGAATAAGTTTCATCTTTAACCCATCAGGCTCCCAAAGGGTCTGTGTCTCAGTGTTCACATAGAGCAGTTTCATTTTTTTGGATTTGTGGGAACCACCATCCTCCAGGGACAGCTCCCCACTGCTTCTGCTGACTTTCTTCCTGTGGTGTTCCTTTTTACTCTCTGAATGGCTTGAAGAACTGGAGGACATTTCTCCTGTCTTTTAGGGGGGGGGTTTGGTGCCTTTTGCCAGAGGGGAAGTGATCCCTTTCAACAGGTCCATAGTTGTGTCAGCAGATTGCGGGCTGGACTTTTTCTTCTGTGACAATTCCAAAGACAAAATATCTGGTGTATCACAAATGAAGACTGTTCTTCTATGCTGAATCTTCCAAAATGCCAGCCCTCCACCTCTCTCCTCCTTCACCCTGGTTTATCGGCACTCAGAACAAGAATCACTGTCCTCCATAGTAGTAATCATCAGAGGAGTGCTTCCTCTTCTTGTGCTTGTCCATCCCCAAGAAGTAAAGTTCACTGTCCTTTAACCTCTTCTTGGAAGAATTCCTTACCTGAGCAGTGATTTCCTCCTCTTCCCTTAAAAAATCTTTGTAAGAACGTTTCTTTTCTTCTTGGCTTTGGCCAGCAGCTAGCCCTATGTCCTCAAAGCTGTGATCACCATCAAAGCAATCTTCACGAGGCTCGCCCAGATCCTGCCTCAGTGCACTGACTGCCAACATCTTGGAGAAGGAGCGGAAAGCGCAAGCGGCCAGGGAGCCTCAGTCGAGCCCAGAGCACAGACCTTGAAATAATTTCTATACTCTTAAATTTGTTGAGGCTTGTTTTGTGTCCTCGTATGTGGTGTATGCTAAGGAATGTTTCATGTGTATTCCGAAATACACATGCTTGAAAAGAATGTGTATTCTGGGGTTTTTTTGCATATAATGTCCTGAAAATATCAATTAAGTCTACCTGTTCTATTGTATCATTTAGTATCTCTGTTGCCTTGTTGATTTACTATTTGGAAGATCTTGTCCATTGACGTCAGTGGGATGTTAAAGTTTCCTACTGTTATTGTATTCTCAGCAATTTCTCTCTTTGTTAGTATTTGTTTTATGTATTTAGGTGATCATATTGGTTGCATATATATTGAGTGTAATATCCTCTTCTTGTATTGATGCTTTTATCATTATATACTGTTCTTCTTTATCTTTCTTTGTGGCCTTTGTCTTAAAGTCTATTTTGTCTGATATGAGTATTCCTACACTGTTCTTGTCATTTCCATTTGCATGAATATCTTTTTCTATCCCCCCTTTTTTTTTTTTGGCTGTGTCAGGTCTTTGTTGCTGCGTGCAGGCTTTCTCTAGTTGTGGCAGGTGGGGACTACTCTTTGTTGTGGTGCGTGGGCTTCTCATTACAGTGGCTCCTCTTGTTGCGGAGCACGGGCTCTAGGCGCGTGGACTTCAGTAGTTGTGGTGCATGGGCTCAGTAGTTGTGGTGCACAGGTTTAGTTGCTCCGTGACATGCGGGATCTTCCCGGACCAGGGATCGAACCCATGTCCCCTGCATTGACAGGCGGATTCTTTTTTTTTTTTTTTTTTTTGACAGGCAGATTCTTAACCACTGCCTCACCAGGGAAGTCCCTATCCCCTCACTTTCAATCTATGTGTGTCCTTCGCTCTAAAGTGGGCAGTATATTGGAGGTTCTTGTTGTTTTTAATCCAATCTGCCACTCTGTCATTTGATTTGAGCATTTAGTTCATAGACATTTAAGGTAAATATTGATAGATAGGGATTTATTCCAATTTTAAACCTTGTTTTCTAGTTGACTTTGTATTTCTTCTGTTTCTTTTTCTTTCTACTTTTTTGGTTTGATGGGTTTTTAAAAATTATGCATGAGTTCTTTTTGGTTTTCGTGAATCTGTTGTTTTTGATTTGTGGTTTCCCTGGTTTTCAAGTACATTAACCCATTACTATATACCTGCTTTAGACTCATAGTCATATAAGTTCAAACACATTCTTAAAAAAAATGAAATCTATGTTTTCTTACTCCCCTTCCCCACATTTTATGATTTTGATGGCCTCTTTTACATCTTCATGTTTATCTGTTTATAGTTATAATTGCTTTCACAAAAAACATTTATCTTATTTAAATGATTTACTTTCCAATTGTGATTCTCTTTCCTTTAGATTCTTGCTTTTTTTCTATTTAGAGAAGACCTTTCAATATTTCTTTTAGCATAAGTTTAGTATTGCTGTATTCTTTTAGTTTTTGCTTGTCTGGGAAATTGTTTATCTTTCCTTCTATTTTAAACAGTAATCCCACTGGGTAGAGTATCCTAGGTTGTACATTTTTCCCTTTCAAGACTTTGAATATATCTTGCCATTCCCTTCTGGCCTGCAGCATTTCTGTAGAAAAATCAGCTGATAGCTTTACAGGAGTTCCCTTGTAATCAACTTTTTTTCTCTTTCTACCTCTAGAATTCTCTCTTTATCTTTAACTTTTGCTGTTTTAATTATAATATGTCTCGGTGTAGGTCTGTTTGGGTTCATCTTGTTTGGGACCATCTGTGCTTCCTGTACCTGGATATCTATTTCCTTCTTTAGGTTTGGGAAGTTTTCAGCCATAATTTCTTCAAATACATTTTTGATCACCTTTTCTCTTTCTTCTCTTTCTGGGATCCCTATTATGCATAGATTGCCATGCTTTAAGTTATCCCATAGGTCTCATATATTGTTTTCATGTGTCTTTCTGTCTTTTGTTCTGATTGGGTGATTTTCATTATTCTGTCTTCCAGATCACTTATTTGTTTTTTGCATTATTCAGTTTGCTATTTATTGCCTTTAGTTCAGCTTTCTTCTTGGCAAATGAGTTTTCTAATTTTAATTGGCTCCTCTTTATAGTTTCTATGTCATTTTTACAGTAATCTGCATTTCTGTTGGTATCCTTTCTTAATTCCTTCAGTATTTTTATTACCTCCTTTTTGAACTCAGGGTCTAGTAGACTGGCAAGGGCTATTTCATTGTTTGTTCTTTCAGGGGAAGTCTCTTGATCTTTTAGTTGCGAGTGGTTTCTTTGTTTCTTCATTTTATTTATATTTCTCTGACTATGAGTTTAGGAAAAACAGTTATCTACTGTGGTCTTGAAAGGCTGTTTTTATGTGGGAGCATCCCTGTGTTGCCTGCGTGAGTCTAATATTTTTGGTGCAAGGGCTGTTTTTAGTATGGATGCCTGCTGCTGCTTTTTCTCAGTGTGTGCTGGCTGTTATCCCCTTGAGAGGGGGTGTGATTGTTGTGGCGGTAACCAGAGCCTGCACTGGATCATGAACGGGACCTCATGTTTGTTCTGTGGTTGTCACAGGCCTGTCAGGGGCAGGGTCTGCTCCCCAGTTGTTGGAGTAGAAGCCCCCATATTCGATTCTAAGCTACAGTGTGAGGTAGGTGGGACTGGATTGCTCCTGCTGGGATAGGAGCTGCTGAGTATTCCTCCTCAGGGGCTGTCCACCAGGAAATGCACTCTGTGGTGTCACCTGTGTGAGCTCGCAAAGTACAGTGTTGTTGGCACTGCCCTCAGCCTTGGGAATGCAGGCAATTGGCCAGGATGTCCCTCAGGTGCTGTGCTCACAAAGCCGCTAGCACAGAGCCACTGAAGTCTAGCACAGGGATCCGCCCATGGGAGCTATGGAATCAGCCCAGACCCCAGCCCCACCTCCGCATGCAGGTGCCCACAAAGCCCACCAGTGCTAACACCAGACCTGCTCCAGTGCCAGTAATATGCTCCAATGTCCCACAGGCACTACACCTTCAGAGCCCCAGCAGCATAAATCCACACAGCTGCTGGGACATGGCTCAGATTTCAGCCCCGCTTCTGAAGTCTCCAGCACTAGGGATCTGCTCAGATTTTAGTCTCATCTCTATGTGTGGGCACTTGCGCACCCCCAGAGCTCCTAGAAGCGGAGCCACACCTGCTGTGAGCACACTGAGAATGAGGCTGCTATGGCGGGGCCCCACCCCTCACTGTGTGTGTGTGTCTGTGTGTGTGTGTGTGTGTGTGTGTGTGTGTGTGTGTGTTAACAATGGGGCTTTTATGGAAGATCTGGGCTGCACCCTACACACACCCTGTTGTGGCCCAGACCACACTTCAGTCCCTTTGGGCAGTCTCTGCACAGCCAACCCCAGTCCTCTCGCCCAGTTTGTTCGCTGCAGCCCGTGTTTCAGCACCCAGCCCCTGTGCCATGGGTTGTTTGTTTTTTTGATGTTGAGTGATAGGAGCTGTTTATACATGTTGGATATTAACCACTTATCGGTCATATCATTTGCAAATATTTTCTCGCATTTGGTAGGTTGTCTTTTCGTTTCATCAATGGTTTCCTTTGCTGTGCAAAAGCTTTTAAGTTTAATTAGGTCCCATTTGTTTGTTTTTGCTTTTATTTCCTTTGTTTTAGGAGAAAGATTCAAAAAAATGTTGCTACAATTTATGTCAAAGAGTGTTCTGCCTATGTTTTCCTTTAGGAGTTTTATGGTATCTGGTATTACATTTAGTTCTTTAATCCATTTTGAGTTTAGTTTTGTATATGGTGTTAGAGAATGTTCTAATTTCATTCTTTTACATGTAGCTGTCCGGTTTTCCCAGCACACTTACTGAAGGGACTGTCTTTTCTCCATTGTATATTCTTACCTCCTTTGTCATAGATTAATTGACCATAAGTGGGTGGGTTTATTTCTGGGCTCTCCATTCTGTTCCATTTCTGTTCCATCCACAGAAAATTACTATGTGTAATTACACATAGTAATTTTCTGTGAATTGATAGTTTATGTAATTTGCCTATAAGTTTTTTAGAGGCTGTTTGTCATTTTCTTATTGATTTGTGAATCCTTTTTGTAAATTAGATATATTAACCCTATACTACAAATTGTTTTCAATCTCTTATTGGCTTGTGGAGTCTTTCATGAAATAGAAGTTATTTAAAATAAGCATTATCTTTTAAACTTCCAAAACAGATTTGAATTCTCCTTATTTAAGTAACACAGAATGTGTGTAGTATCAGTTTTTGTTCTACCCTATCATGTTTTATTAATTTAGAACTTTTGAGAGTAAGAAAACAATGGGATTTTCTACTTTCTATTCTGATTTGTGTGTGTGTGTGTGTGTGTGTGTGTGTGTGTGTGTGTTAGTGGGGACTGTGGCAAGAGAATTTCCAGGAAAGTTCATCCCATTCTCTACATTTGCTTTATCGCTCCTCACATCTTTATGCAAGTTTTTATTGAGGGTATACTACACACTTAAAACTTAGATAAATATATGAATTTATTAATTTAAAAATATCAAATCCTGGAAAATAATTTTATCTACCTAAAATTTTTTTCTTTTGAATTTACCTCCTTTCTGTGATTGATTGTATGATATCTATATGTTTATATATAATTCAGAGCTAGAACTTTGCTCCCACCTAACTCTGTGTATCCTTTACTGCAGTGAGTGATGGATTGGAACTGAGACCGAAATATAAAGGAGTTTTGCATTGCTTGACCACCATTTGGAAACTTGATGGACTACGGGGACTTTACCAAGGAGTAACCCCAAATGTGTGGGGTGCAGGCTTATCCTGGGGACTCTACTTTTTCTTGTGAGTAGGTCTGGGAGATTTTACAGTAGTAAATAAAAAGGAATTTATGTTTTTAATGATTTTTTTAAAAATCAGTTGGTGAAGCAAGGTGAGTCATTTAATCAGTTTCTCTGCATTGGAAGGGCTAGAAAGAGCAGAATGGCATATTAGTCTCATTCTCTGTAAGCTATTATCAGAGGCATTTAGTTTGGAAAAAAGTTATTAATAAGAAGGTAAAAGGATGAGATGGAGAAACACTCTTCCAGAAGCCATTTCTGTGAGATGGATTCAGGAAGGTGGCTTCCCAAAATACATTGATTCATAATGAAGTTGGAAAAGCAGAAGAGGACAGATCTTGGAGTCCTCATAAGAACATGTATCACAGGATAGCCCTATGGGAACAGAAAGCCAAAGCCAGTGCATGACTGAAAGAGTCTGAGGCATGTTCTTTCTTACCTCCTATTTGACCTGCTCCTTCATCTTTGTAGCTCATTCATTTCCTCACTCCTTCACTGTCAGGTATCATTACCGTTTGTAATCACTGATATTGGATGCTTACTGAAGAAGCCACAGAAAGCACCTGTGGCAGCCATATTCAAGTTGTTGAGTGTACAAGGGCATGGACACAAAGTATTATC